CGAAGGAAAATATAAAAGGGAAACAGAAGGAGGGGAGAGGAGAGAGTGAAAATTTGAATAAAAAAAAAAAAAAAAAAAAAAAAAAAAAACAGAGGAGGAGAGAGTAAGAGAGAAAGGGGAAGACAAAAAGACCAGGAGAGACAGAGAGAAGGAGACCAAAAGGAAGCGAAAAGGCGCAGAGAGAGACAGAGACAGACAGAGATAGAGACAGAGACAGACAGAGACAGAGACAGAGATAGAGACAGAGACAGAGAGAGACGAATCCGCGTATAACGTCACTGAAGATACGTATATTGATCTATTTGTTCACCTGGGCTTGTGATGAGGGACGCCAGCTCCTTTGTCGTGGACCCTCGGCGGATGACTGGGCTTATGGCCGGTCCCTCTCGCGTTTCCTTTTGTTTTCCTTTCTTTGGTCCCCCCCCCCTTTTTTTTTTTTTCTTTTTTTCTTTTTTTTTCTTTTTTCCCTTCTTGTTTTTTTTTTTTCTTCTCTTCTTCTCTTTTCCTCCTTCTTGTTTTCCCTTTTTTTTCTTCTTTTTTTTTTCTTTATCTTTTTTCTTCTTTCTCCTTTTTACTTTTTTACTTCTTCTTTCTTTCTTCGTATTCTCCTTTCACTGCTCTTTCCTTCCCTTCGTCGTTTCCATTTTTTTTTTTTCACTTTTTATTATTCGGTATATTTTCACTTATTCCTTTTTTAAATTTCTTCCTTCTCGTCTTCGCAAGTGTATCTCCTTTTTTTATTTTTATTTTTATTTTATTATTTATTATTATTATTATTATTATTATTATTTGTTCTCTTTTCTTTCTTACGCCTCTCCTGTGTGGTCTTTCTTCCTTCCGTTTTACCTTCCTCTCTTCCTTCCGTTTTTATTTCCTCCCTCTCTCCTCCTTTCTGTCCTCTTCCTTTCCTCCTTACTACCCCCCCCCCCTCCACGATCTCTCCCTCCCCCTGATGAAAAAAAAAGATCATCTCTTCGGTTATTCATTTCCACGTCAAGATATATATAAAAAGCCGTGAAGACTGGCATGTGCGGAACACAAAACTCTCTTTGTGATGAACGTTTTTTGCGTGTACGTTTCTTGGCATTCCTCCTTGCTTATTTCCCTCTCCCTCCTTCCTCCCTTCTTCTTTCTTCCTCCCTCTCTCCCTCCTTCCTCCCTCTCGCCTTCTCGCCTCCTTGCTTCCTCCGTTTTCTTCTCCTCTTTGCTTCCTCCCTCTCCTTTTCCCTTCTTTGTCTCCTCCCTCTCGTCTTCCCCTTCTTGCTTCTCCTCCGTATCCTCTTCTCCTTTTTGCTTCCTCCATCTACTCTTCCCTTCCTTGCTTCTTACATTTCTCCCTTCCCCTCTTACCTCCCTTCCCTCTCACCTCCCTCCCTTGCTTCCATCCTTTCACCCTTCCCCTTGGCTCCTTCCTCTCCGCTTCTCCTTCTCCCCTTCGCTCCCTTGCCTCCTCCTTCCCTCTTTACCTCCCCTTTACCCCCCCCCCCCACACACACACGCATTTGCTTCTTCTCTCCTTTCTCTCTCTCATTTTTTAACAAAAGGTTAAGGAACTCCACTAATTTCCTCGGAAGAAAATATATCCCTTTTTTTTTAGCAACTCCGAGAAACCCAACATTCCCGGGCGATTCACAACCCGATGTGATCTTTCTATCCCTCGCTTTATCTCTTCGTTTTCTTCCCCTCGTTTCTTTCCCTTTGAATTAATTTATTTTTATTTTTCCAGTTGAGTTTTTATTTCTTTCTCTCTCTCTTTCTTTCTTTCTTTTTTTTTCTCTCTCCTTCTCTCTCTCTCTCTCGTTCCGTCTTTCTACATCCGGGACCAGGAGACGGAAGCGGGAATAAAGATCGTTTTCCCGCCCAGGATCCCGCGTGGAAGTTGGAAATTGAATTTGGCAGCTTGTTGTTTCTCTAGATTACGTGAATCCTTTTTTGGATCTGTTTATTATTTTTCTCTCTTCAGTTTATTGTTGTTTGATGTTTGTTGGGGCGGAATTTTCGGCGCTCCTTTGTGGGAACACGCAAGCACGCGCGCGGGTAGAATGGACGCAAAGGCATTTGTGAAAGCGTGCGGGAATTATGAGGATGTATTGATGTATATGTATATGTATATGTATATGTAATATATATATATATATATATATATATATAATATATATATATATATAATATATATATTGTGTGTGTGTTTAAGTGCGCGTGCGAGTATGTGTGTGTGTTTGTATGTATGTATGTATGTATTGTGTGTATATATATATATATATATATATATATATATATATATATTATATATATATATATATATATATATATATTATATATATATATATATATATTATTTATTTATTTAATATAAAATTGTGAGTGAGAGTGTGTGATTGTGTATGGGTTGGTTGTGGGTGTGGGTGTGAGTGTGTATACACACAAACATTCGGTCTCGAGAAAAAAAAAAAATCCAAAGCACAACCAGTAGACGTTTGTGAATGTGTCGCGAAACTCGCCGGACTTAATTGCATTGCCTTTATTCAAATGTTTACTCCGCACAGCGCCGGAAACGCGCTCGGCTGCGCTCGCGAATGCCGAGTGGAAACGCGAAATACATTCGGCGTAGTTACCGATACGTCAGTGAGGCGGCCGCTGTATTGGCTCAGTATTTTACAGCCAGCGAGCCAGTGTTTCCAGCAGAGAGGAGGGAAAAATGTGTGTGTTCAGGCAACGAGCTTGAAGTAAAAGAAACGTGGGAGAGAGAGAAAGTGGGAGGAGGAAGATGGAGAGAGAAATTGGGAGGAAGATGGAGAGAGAAATTGGGAGGCAGATGAAGAGAGATGGAGAGAGAAAAAGGGAGGGTGATAGGGAGAGATGGAGAGAGAAAAGGGAGGAAGATAGAGAGAGATGGAAAGAGAAAAGGGAGGAAGATAGAGAGAGAAAGCGATAGGAGGTCAAGGACAGAGGAAAAGATGAAAACTGTCCCCAAAAAGTGAGGAAAATCTTTAAAAAAGAAATACAAAGAAAACACCTTCGAATGCAAATAGAGAGAGAGAAGAAAAATAGAACTGAAAAACGTAATCCAGAAAGCAGAAAAGCGAAAGAAAGAGAGAGAGAGAGAGAGGGACGACAAAAATCTCTTCTCCAAGCATTGATAAAGTGCTTAAAAAAACACCAGACACGGACCCTCTCGTGTCTCACTCCCTCTTTTAGAACCGGAAGGATGGCGGTGCAAAGGGACTCTCTGGCGGAGGATTTTATTGTCCGCGGGATATTGCAGGTAATGCTGTAGCGCTGCATGCTGGTGTTAGGTATCCCCGGCTCTTTCGTCCTCGCCGGCGCGCCCGCTTGCAAGAGAGATGAGAGGCCTTTTTCGGACCTTTTTGCGATTTTGCACGGCGAGATATCGGGTTACTCGTCATTCGTGCTCTGTTTTGCTGTCGTGCGCAAGGCCCCGGGATGCATGATCTGTTGGGGGGGGGGGGTTTAGTCGTTATTCTTTATTTATTTTCTATTCGTTTTTTTTTTTTTTTTTTTTTTTTTTTTTTTTTTTTTTTACGTGCATTTCTCCGACCTTTTATTCCGTTAAGAAAAAAAGAGAACAACGAATAGCAATTTACACTTTGTTCCGATTTCCTTTTTTTTTCTTTTCTCGTATTCGATATATATATATATATATATATATATATATATATATATATTATCTATTCTATTTTTTTTTTTAATCCGAACCATGGAAGGAAAGTGGCAGACGCGGCAGGAGGAGTCAGCATGTGGTGGAAGAGGCAGCTTGGCGGAAGCAAGGAAGGAAGACCTAAGCCTCTTTGGGTATTTCCCTGCTATGAGATCTTGGCCGGATTGAGGAGGAAAGGAATGGGAGGAGAAAGGAGAAGACGAGGAGGAGGAAGAGACGAAACAGAGATAAATTTTGAGGGAGATTATATCGTAGCTTCGACGTTAGGGGAAAAAATAATGTCATTTTTTTTTTTTTTTAATCGTAATTACAAGCGTTATTAAATTTTATGGCGTCCTTGTGCCATCATCTTACCTCCTTTCATTACTCATGCAGTAATTTATAACTATTACAATTATTAATTTGTCTCCATTGATGCTCCTAATTGCACAGGATTGCAGACTGCTGAGCCATAATTCATTGTCACTAATATGAGACCGTTTGTCTTGCAGATTGTTCAAACTCCGGCTGCGTCGCGATACGTCCATTTTCGCTGAGGATGTTGTGTTCGAATCCTCAAACGGCGTTGTCGACTTCGACGTCGGTAAAATATACTCGGGGAGACTGGAAGGTAAGTGTGTTTGTTTGTGCATTTAAATGTGAAAGATTTCTGTGGTGATTTTTGGATTGTGCGTCTTTTTAGTGTTCTGTAAGTAAGTAGGCAACTTTAACATTTTTTTTTGTGCCGATTCCCCAGACGACGACCTAGCGGAAGTTCAAGGCGTGGTTACGAAGGAGGGCCTCTTCGACGGCCACGTGGCCACGCCCAACGAGCTCTACTACCTAGAGCCGGCCAGCAGGTACCTGGACCAACCGGAATTCCATTCGGTGATGTACAAGGCGTCGGACGTGGCCCACCCGACGCTCTCACGGTGTGCCTCGCAGCAGCTGCACTCCCGGGGCCGCGTCCACACCCCCTGGGGGGCTCCGACCCACCGCGACCCCCTGGGTGCCCCCGCGGGTCCAGAGAGGCTGCCTGCACAAGACACTCTCGGGACATCAAGGCCTTCGCCTCATTCTTCCATTTCGTCCAGTGCGGCGCCGGCCCGGGGGGGAGGCGCCGCTCCGTCGCCCAAGCCGCACGGTTTGAATCCCAAACATAAGGCTGTGACAAGTAGTAAAAGTTTATACGATTCCACTAGTGATCCCCACACCCACCGCGGCTACTCCAGTGCACCTGCTACCTCCTCCCCCTCTTCCTCTGCCCCTTCCCTGCCTCCCCCTCCCCCCTGAGCCGCGCGCCCCCGCCCCCGCAGCGCCTCAAGGCCAAGCTAGCCGTCAT